AACTAATCATGTGCCATCAATTCGGAGTTAGAAGTCTCAGCCATGTGCCAATCATATGAAAAATCAATTTGTCGACAGAGCTAACAAAATCAATGACAGTGTGACAACCAAGCTGCTAAAGTACTGTAATTATTCGTGGTCTTTTATAAATTCACCCACTGGAAAGGCAAAAACGAGATCTTCATTTTTGAACTATATTGCCTGTGCAATCGGTCGGGAATAGTTAGTTACCTTGAAAATGTGCTGAAGGTATGCACCAAACCGCTTCCACCTTCCCAGGGGGAAGGTGGCGTAATTCCTTAAATTCCTTGTTCAAAAGAATGTGAGGCAGTTCACGGCGATAACTGTATCTTTTGAACAGTACACTATCAAGTAAATATGCCAAAAAATGTTGCCGACACCGGGACTGAACCCTACTGAATATGTCAATCGCCCTTCAGATTCCTTCCATGTGAAAACAAAAAAATGTGGAACGTCTCTCTTCTCGGTGACACTTACAATATGAACATAGATAGGCGGTCTCACGAGAACAAGAAAACATGAGGGAATACGGAGAACTAACTGTTTACACTGCCTTGCTGCCTGACCTCGGAACAAAATTTATCTCAGTGTTTTATACTTGAACGTTTCGGCGATACACCGAAAGCTGATATAAGAAACAGACTAGTGCTCATCATTTCTAACAACTGAAGAGGGTCGGAACCAAATAAATTAGGTCCACTTGCTTGGATATATCACCCTTCACATTTGCATGTCAACTAAACAGCTTACTTTTTCAGTGTTTTAATCACTTGTCCGGCCATGAAAGCATCCAAACCTGTAGTGGGCTCATCCAGAAATAATACAGGAGGGTCGGTGATCAACTCCATCCCAATGTTGGTACGTTTACGTTCTCCACCAGACACTCCTCGTATCAAGTCGGTTCCAATCTGTAGAAAAACGGAAAGTGTAGTTGATGGAATAAGGTCGATGAAACCTGCTCGTAGACGTAAACTGAAAAGGCTCATGAAAGGAAATAATCCAGTCGATAACCACAGTCACAGAATCGAGGATATCGATGACAGGCTTTAGGCAATTCATCTTTCTAGTTTATTATGAGGTACAGTTAACTTATCCTTGGTATGTAAAGCTTTCTGTAAAACGACAGCAAGGAAATTGTCGCTTTGGTGTTCACAACCCCCATTTGACTTGGTGCGAATAAAACTCACTACATCTAAATAGCCAGGTAAGGTTTCGGATCAAACTGCAGTTAATATGGCCCGAATATTCTATGTGTGAATATATTCCATTATATTCAAATGGGATTCAAGGGAAATCGCTTGTTCACAATGTTCTGCTACAAGCATCGCGCAAACTAACCTTGCTGTCAGCTACACTGGTAAGTCCAAGTTCTTCGATAATTTCATCCACCTTTCGGCGTCTCTCGGCCTTTGAACATCGCACAGTCATACGAAGAGCAGCGGAGAAATGAAGGTTCTCTCGCACCGTTAAAGTTCCCATCACGATATCATCCTGAAAGGAAAAGTAGGTGGGCCAATTTATCTCAAAAATCGTTCTGTTACCAAGCAATGTTCTCTGCCACAAACAGATTACAGTGTAAAACGATAATACCCACTGTAATGTTTTACATGGATATATGTCGCGATGGAAGAAAACTCAAGCTATTGCAAACACAATCAAGCACGCCGATGCTGAAGCTAACAAGACCTGGATTCAGACACGCAGAACTAATATAAAAACTGAATTCGCAGCACAGCAGTCGCCTAGAAATCTCAATACCTGAATCTATGAAGACGGGGAAAATGTGAGCCTACAGAGTTGACAATGTTGCTGTTCGCGGACATAAAACCAACGCCCAAACAGATGGTAGTATAAGACCATATCAAAATACGCTGATTCAAANAAATACGCTGATTCAAAGCAGGTTATCATGATGATGATGGAAAGTAGTGCTTGTATGAAGATTAAAGTAATTCAGACTCCTAGAATGACAGGAGATTGTGCCATCAATGCCTTAGTTCAGGAGCCCCCAGGCTTTGATCCGCGAGGCTGCTTCAGCCTATCGGTTGTTGACGAGCGGTAAAAATGGCACTCTAAAAAAACACATTAAACCCGTCGGAAGAGACCCACGGATCTCAAGGGTGGAGCCGCCTCATGCGGCGGAAAGTGTACTGCGTCTCAGAAAAAACAACCACGGCTCCCCAGTCAGACCCTTGTATGTTTGGTTTACAACCAACACGTCACTCATACGGATTGATCTTACATGGACTTGCTCTATCATATTCCGTCCTCATGGTGTGAAGTCCGCCTCATCAGAGGAAACGTACCCAAGTGCATCTAGATGGCCTTTCCCAGCTATTGGTGACAGAGCGCCAGAAGACTTAATTCTATTTCATTGGTCATGGATTAGGACTGATCAAACATTCCTGGTTTAAGCCCACTACACTTCCAACAGTTAGACCACTTCATTCTACATTTGAGTGGCCTGATGTCTTGTTAGGCTCAGCCAGTTTCCCCTAAGCTCCATGCGGGATGCGAATGGAAGTACCGCCAAACAAAAGGAATGAATTTGATTGTAACTCCATCATGTTCATTCGATAACAGGAAGCACACACATCTGTGGAACAAAACTGCCAACTTACCTGAACTACATAGCCTGATATACATTTGAAATTCTTCGGTTGAGGAACACCATCCACTAGCACTTGTCCTGATAAAAAGCGCGGATCTTTTCGACCAGCAAGGACGTCTAGAAGTCTAGACAGGAAGAAAATAAATATTATATTACAAACCTGATAATTTTTCTTGCCTCTTACCCACCCGACATCATGAACCGGATGCGCTAGGATCGGATAAAGATTCACACTTTTCTGGCAACGTCAACGCTTACAATTTTTGAAAATAGTCAATTGGCTTGAAGAAATGTTTTCCCACATATGCACTACCAAAGGAAATTAGACTAGAACAATCAGAGTTTTACAGTTGGTTTTTGAAATCCAAATAAAGTTATTAAAGGAAAAAGCTATTTATTTATAGTACATCGATCGCAGTCTTTTCGACCACTGCTTATGTTTACAGCCACACGGCTGTTTTTCCACCAAATCGATATTCACGACTGGGCGTGTCTATATTGTACAGCGACTTCTAATTTTCGGGAGAACCAACTCCATTGCTGAGGACAAAAGCTCACCAAAGAGATGAGGTTGGAGGCCGAAAACGATTCAAAAACAGATGATCTCCCTGAATGTCAGACGTTGGACCGCTACTCTAGCGTGACATGAACACATCTTCCAATGAAGAATATTCGTTCGAAATAGCAAATTTCCGTCAAAATCCATTGTAAGTCATAAGAGATAGACAAAGACCCAAGGAATGGAAGGCAATGACTTCGTCTAACATGCGCCTCCTCAAATGAGTAGGAGCCCACATAGAACTCAACTTTTACCATCACAAATATATGGAGGACAGTGCACAGAAAATCATATAACGAAGATACATTTTGCTGACTAATAAACCAACTCGAAGCTGTCGCTAACTTGTCTATCTCTATAGAAAGCTGAATTTCCTGCAAAGGTAAACACATGTGTGAGTAGAGGGCTTAGTTCCTTCTAACAAAGGTATTATGTTGAACATACAAATAAGACTGCCTTCCTTACGTGACCTTATATCGGAGGCATTCAGCCATTCCTCCAATAGTCTGACAGGCTAAACAAGGGCAAAATGAATCCAGAAACTCCACAGTGGTTAAACTTCCCTCAAGGCTGTATCTGCGTATGTACTGTTAAGGGTTGACCAGCTTAATAACGCTGCAGTCTTCAAACAGCTGCAACCTGATTTCTCGGGGTTTATGACCACATTATATTGCGATTATTTCATTGTAAGATATTTGCCACGTTGTGTACCAGTGATTACACTCTCCGATGCGTTCAGGTAGGGAATAAGCTATGTATACGCGAAGAAATTCACCTATTCTACTAATTTCGCTGACTGCCTATCAGCACTGTATAAGTCTTTCAGCAAGGACCTCTCGGATATTTTTCGTATTCAAAACTGAGACCTAAAAATGGTCCTAACGAGCCAGAGTCGTTGATCAGTGGGTAGACTTCTCTGTAAAATTAAAATAAACTATCAGGTGGGTCTCTTCGACTTGTGCTCATCGTGTAACAAGATACAGCATGGATGGTTAATAGGCAATTAGCTACCAACCAGACCAGATGATTACCAAACTGAGAACGCCTCACCAAT